CAATAGGAAATAACTGTTGTTTTACAACTGGGACAAAAGCTAATATAATAGAAAATAACTGTTGTTTTGCATCTGGAAGCAAAGCTAACATAATAGAAAATAACTGTTGTTTTGCATCTGGAATCAAAGCTAAAATAATAGAAAATAACTGTTGTTTTACATCTGGAACCAAAGCTAATATAATAGAAAATAACTGTTGTTTTGCATCTGGAAGCAAAGCTAAAATAATAGAAAATAACTGTTGTTTTGCATATGGGACCAAAGCTAAAACAATAAAAAGTAACTGTTGTTTTACATCTGGGACCAAAGCTAAAATAACTGTTGTTTTGCATCTGGGACCAAAGCTAAAATAATAGAAAATAACTGTTGTTTTACATCTGGAAGCAAAGCTAAAATAATAGAAAATAACTGTTGTTTTACATCTGGAAGCAAAGCTAAAATAATAGAAAATAATTGTTGTTTTACATCTGGAAGCAAAGCTAACATAATAGAAAATAACTGTTGTTTTGCATATGGAAGCAAAGCTAAAATAATAGAAAATAACTGTTGTTTTGCATCTGGGACCAAAGCTAAAATAATAGAAAATAACTGTTGTTTTACATCTGGAAGCAAAGCTAAAATAATAGAAAATAATTGTTGTTTTACATCTGGAAGCAAAGCTAACATAATAGAAAATAACTGTTGTTTTGCATATGGAAGCAAAGCTAAAATAATAGAAAATAACTGTTGTTTTGCATATGGGACCAAAGCTAAAACAATATAAAATAACTGTTGTTTTACATCTGGGACCAAAGCTAAAATAATAGAAAATAACTGTTGTTTTGCATCTGGGACCAAAGCTTAGAAATAACTGTTGTTTTGCATCTGGGACCAAAGCTAAAATAATAGAAAATAACTGTTGTTTTGCATCTGGGACCAAAGCTAAAACAATAGAAAATAACTGTTGTTTTGCATCTGGGACCAAACCTAAAATAACTGTTGTTTTGCATCTGGGACCAAAGCTAAAATAACTGTTGTTTTGCATCTGGGACCAAAGCTAAAATAATAGAAAATAACTGTTGTTTTGCATCCGGGACCAAAGCTAAAATAACAGAAAATAACTGTTGTTTTGCATCTGGGACCAAAGCTAAAATAACAGAAAATAGCTGTTGTTTTGCATCCGGGACCAAAGCTAAAATAATAGAAAATAACTTTTGTTTTGCATCCGGGACCAAAGCTAAAATAAT